GCGGGCAGCAGGGTCCCAGCCAATGGGAGTGCGAAGCTGGTGCTCAGGGCAGGGGTAGTACACAGAGCCCCCCACCCTCCCACCTAGGAGCCGGGCCTGCTGCCGGCCTCTTCTGAGGCGCAGCACAATCTGTGGTGCCAGGACAGGCAGGAAGCTGCCTGCAGCCCTCCCTCCGCCCTCCCGACAGCAATGAGACCCAATGCCTGACGTTCCACGGCTCAGTACCGGCTCGCAGCACCTTTTCTAATGTAGCATCCCCCCCCTTCGGCGGGAAATGGAAAATCCCTTCCCTTCATGTTCCTCGGCCCCCAAGGGGGGTGACATCGGCTGGGGCAGGAAGCAGAAGCTAGTTGTTGAGCGAGTGGCCCATGACGGCATGGGATCTTCCCCCGTTCAATATTGGACCATTCGTGAATGTTTAATAGGACAGAAATGAGTGTTTTTCTCCTTTAAAGATTTACCATGTACAAATGTATGAGAATATTAAAGGCAACAATTAACTTTATTGGAAACCTTATATTCTCCAGCCTCATTAGAACTGCCAACAAGATCTATTATTAGTATTACTATGCAGATAATGTAATAAAAAGGGTATTTAAAGTAGATAGTTTTGCATTGAAATCAAACTCTCTTTTTAAAGAAGTTTTACATCACATTAAGCAAGTGTCTGATCACTCCACCACCCAGCCGGGGGAGGCTCTGGACCTTTTCCGGTGAAAATGTTTTCCAGCAGAAACAGCATCGGGATAATGAACAATGCACTGTACTCACGGAGCATCTCGCTGAGTTTCGGAGATGCTCCTCGCACAGCCTCTAACAAGGGAATCCTCACAGCCCCTAGGGTCTGTATTAACCTCAATTTCACCCCCGGGAAAATCTGAAGTGCAGCAAAGTAAGGTGACTGCCCCAAGGCCACACGGTGCATCACTGGCAGAGCAAAGAACAGCACCCAGGAGTCCTGACTCCCATGGAGCCTCCTGTTTTAAAATGCTGATGCCTTGTAGCTCGGGGGCTCTGCTTCCAGCTGCAGCTCTCAGCTCTACCAGCCCTGCCACACGTGCACTGATTTCCTGCACCACTACAGCGAGGGCACAAACTAGCGCCTTGTGTCTGTGCTCTCCACGCAGCTGTAAGCACCCCGGGGACCCAAGCTGGGTTCCGAATGAGTGAGCTTCCCAGCAATACCCCCACTCACAGGGCCACCTGCTATGGGCACCGCTGCTTTGTCAGGCTCTGGTGGCTCGTGCAAAAAGAAGGCAGCCGTGCAAGGCTCCCAAACTATTTAAAGCACAGGTGGGAGGGAAAAAAGTGATCGCCCCTGGTGAGCCGCTGTGAATACATTTACCTGCACCTCTGCAGGCATGGGAGATCACAGCTCCTATTGGCCCCAATGGTGATCCACGGTCAATGGGAGCTAAGATCCTCTGTACCTGCAGAGATCCCCTGGCAGACCAGGTACAGCCTGCAGGCTGGTATTTGCTCCCTCCTGATTTAAAGGGATACTACCCACTTCCTGGACACAGCACAGCGGTTTTACATGGGCGGTTCACTCAGGGCAGATGGAGAGCTGAGCTGTTAGGGGAACTAAGGGGATTGGACAGAAGCTGGGTTCATCAGCAGATCCCTCCCTTCTACGGTGAACCACACCAGGAAGCTTCTGAACTCCTGCCTTTAAATTTCAGGTCAACCAAACTTTCCCTGTTCTTCACCGGGATACCCGGGGGGCACCGAATTTGTAAGGGAGAGGGGGCGTAGGAGGGAAGCGGGATGGCAGGGAAAAGGGGCTAAAAGTGCAGAGAAAGGCAGGGGTTGCGTTGTGTGAACCTCCCACCTACTGCCGGCTGTGGGTGCTCTGCAGGGTGGCATTTGAGTCTTTCCCGACTGGGCGCCCAAGCACTCAGGTTCCAGGGAACACTGCACAGCCCCGGAGTGATGGCACCAGGGAACGCAGTTGGAGGCTGCCTGACAGCAGGAGGCGCAATGGCATTTTCAGAGCGGAGAGCACGAAGCGTGCGTTATGTCCTGGTGACAGCACACGCTAGCCGATGCCCTTCACCGCGGTGACCATGTGAGTGGGGCGTGAGTATGGTGTGTGCATGTGTGCGTGTGCACGAGGATGTAAACACAGACGGCTGCCCGGCAGCATCGTATAGCACATAAGTGGGGAAACAATTTGCATAACTTAATTAAAATTTTACAGTAATCTTCAACTCGAGTCAGGTTCTAACAAACAAACATAAAATCCTCTGCCTTAAACCCCAAAGGTTAATTAGCCTTTCATAGATGGCTGCCACCTCAAGGAAAGCGAATTGCAAAAGAGCAACAGTGGTCTTGCCTTGTTTTTTGACCGGCTGAATAAGATAAATCAGCAGCTGCTTAAACAGAGCCATGAAAACCAAAATCGCTTGGAATGGATACTATTGCCAACCCTCAGGTCTCAGTCCAGAGATTTGCTCCTCTTGGTCTTTGTGGTAATCACTGGTCCCCCAGGGTGAAGATGCAGCTCATGCCAGGTGCAGACCAACTGGAGAAGAACATAGGAATCGTTGTCCTGTATGAGATCATTGTCCGGCTAATCCAGTGTCCTCTCATCAACAATTGCCAGCACCGGCCGCTTTAGAGAAAGGTTCAAGAAACCCTGCAGTTATAACCTATCCCTGGAAAAACTTCCCAGCCCCCCCAAAAGCTAAAGGCTGAATGAGGCTCTGAAGTCTGTTGTTAGTTACTGGAACGGGTCAGAAAATGACTCCCCCTCCTCAGAAAATTGTGACTCTTCAAATAAATCGAACCCCGAACATTCTTGGCTGAAAATTAAACTTTGGGGGCTGAAAAGGTTTTGAGATGCTTGGTTTTCTGGATCAAAATCAAAAACTTGTGAGGAGAGCAGACACATTCCTCCAGAATATTTGTGTAATCAAAAATCCGATTTTCCATAGAAAAAAAGATACCAATGAAGATTTCCCACAGTCTCAGACCAACGATGCAACTCTGCTTCGCACTGGGAAAGACAAATCTTTCTCTGCATCACCAAACTGTAAAGATTTGATCGTGTCTGATGCCTATTTTTTTCTGTTTTATTTTATGAGAGACACTTCCATCTCTTGTTCTAGTCACTTAGGCTACATCTAGACTGAAAACCTCTTTCAAAAGAGGATTTCTCAAAAGATACTTTTGAAAAAGTCTCTTTCGAAAAAGAGCCACTAGACTACAATCAGTACTTTCAAAAAAGCAAGCCGCTTTTTCGAAAGAGAGCACCCAGGCAGTCTGGAGGCTGTCTTTCGAAAAAGCACAGTTTGCATTACATAGCATCTTTTTTCGAAAGAGAACTTTCGAAAGGCATTATTCCTCATAAAATGAGGTTTTCCATGGTCGAAAAAAACTGCTGCATTCTTTCGATTTACTTCCGAAATAATTT